GATTCCCAGCACCCACATGGCGGCTACGAACTGTCCTCAACTCCAGTTCAGGGGAATCCGAAGCTCTCTTCTGACCTCCTTGGCATTGAATGACACGGGTGCACTCACATACATGCAGGCAATACACTCATACACATAAAATAAAATATTTTTTAAAATATATAAATTCTCTCCAAATTGATACCAACAGGCTTTCTCTTTTCTCTTTTTTTAGGGATTGACAAGTAAATTCTAAAAATTTACATAAGAATGCAGAGAGACATATATAGTGACTTCCAGGTGGGCTGGGACTAGGGAAACCCTTAAAAAAACAAAACAAAACAAAAAAAGCAAAGTATCTTGAAGTCAGAGCAACTTTTTTTTGGGGGGGGGGTCTTTTTGAGACATTGCCCCCACTGGCCTGGAACTTGCTATCTAGATCTGGTTAGCCTCAATCTTAGAGATCCACCTGCCTCTGCCTCCTGAATGCTGGGAATAAAGGAGTATGCCACCCACCTCCAGAGTAACTTTTTAAAAGATAAGAATTATACTCCTTATTTCAAGACCAGGACTAATCAATCATGCAGGCTTGCAACCCCAGCTACCTGAGAAGCTTTTGAAATAAGAGAATTTCAAGTTCAAGGCCAGCCTCAGTAATCCAGCAAAGTAACTTAACTGTCTCAAAATAAACAAAAAATTAAGGCAGCATTGTCTAGACCCACAGAATTGTGCTTCATAAAGTGTAACTGTAATGTATAAAAACAGACAAAAATCAACAATACCAGACTGTCAGAGATACGATGGAGATGGGGACCAATAGACCAGCCATATCACAAACAAGCTAACTGGCCACACACATAGACAAGTCAGGAAGAGGCAGATTCAAGCAACCCAGAAAATGGTATTTTGACTAGATACAAGATGATGCAAGCCAAATTTAACTCTGTATTTTAGTTGGTAAATCTGTTTCTTACAGAGCTGGGGTTAGGTATGGATGAACAGTTGCTTTGTATGTATATTAGAGCCGAACAAAAAAAGTAAAGAAATGACAGATGGTAGGAGCCAGGTTATTACTGCCAGAGTGGAAGGTTACAGGGTATATTCAGACACACACAATCAGATCTGTATGTCACCTATCTCCATCTATGGAGAAGACCTAGAAGACATGACAATCTGGTACCAACAAAAAAGACTCAAGTGCACATTCTCAGACCATCCTCCAATTACAGGAACGCAGTTTTCTTAGAGAAATGGCTGATCTTGGGTAATCAAGGAAGGGTAGAGTACTGGCAGGACCTGTAAACAGCCAAACCCTAGGGTACACCATGTGAGCACTGGCAGTAACTGTAGCTCCCACACAACTGTGGTTGAAAAGGAGCCGATGTGGGTATGTCACCTTGTTTCTCATTGTACTGAGCTGTGGGGAAAATGGCTCAGGTGGCTACTGTCCCTACTTTACCTAGGTACTGCAGCCACTGACACAGCAAGCAAAGGAGCCAACGATGAAGTAGCCCAGGACAGAAAAACACATCTCTCAACCTAAAAGTCTATTCAGTGATTTCACAGATAACAAATGTTGAAAACTGTGACTAGATGTAAAGGAAACACTCGGTCTGCTGAAATGCATGTACATATGAAAGTACTCTGGTAGGCTGAGCCCCACCTTGAGGATACAGACTCCCTGGTGATGATACTGTTCTTTAAACCACATTTAAAGGTTTAACTTTTATTTTGGTTATGTGTTTTGTGGGGGAGAAGGGTATGTGCCATGAGTGCAGGTACCTGAGGGGGACAGAAGAGGGAGTCAGATCCCCTGGAACTGGAGTTACAGGTAGTTATGAGCCCTCAGACATGGGTGCTGGGAACTGAATTAAGCCATCTCTCCAGACCCTTGGCATTGTTCATTAAATAAGTTATCTGATAACTCCAAATTAACATGGAGATAATAATGTAATGTGGGTCTGAGAAGTGTTGGAATGCTTCCTCTGGATAAGAGAGTTCAGGTGAGAGGAGCTCAATCCCACTAAGAAACATGTCTGCTCAGGGTGTGGGAAGAATACTGACAGCAGGATATGTAGGTCAGGAAAAGAAAATATCTGTATATACAGCGCTTTCTAAGAGCTTTCTTCTTTCTAAGAGCTTCTAAAAATAAAATGAACCCAAACTGCTGTTCAGTGGCTCTTAACAGAAACTTCTGTGACCTGGATGACCCTGGGCGGGAAGCTTCTAAGCCAGTGCCTTTCGCCAAATTTTCCACCATATAGAAACAGAGGCTGTAGAGCCAGGGCCTAATATGAGAGGCCCTGGATTCAAACTGTCACCCTCATCCTCCACGAAAAAAATCATGGATAAACAGACTTCAGTTCTTTTTCTGTACACTAGTATAGAAGCAGGAGGATCACAAGTTCGAGGCTAACGGAAGCTACATAGGTCAGCTTCTGTCTCAAAAAAGAAAAACAACTACTGGGCCAAGTTTGACACCTTCAAATTTAATAGGTCTACTCGGTTGAGAATTCGTTCAGAATATAGCAGGGGGAATAAACTGTACTTGGAAATGTAGTAAGAAATGTACCACACCGGGTGCTATGCACCAGCAAACTCCTTAGGAAGCCCACATTTCACGGCAGGACGCCAATAGAACAGAAGTCTCTTATCTCTGGGGAGAACAGATCCGCTCCCAGCTCCGCTGCAGGGCGCCTCCGAGCCGCGAGCCGCCCGCCATCCCTCCACCCTCTCAATCCTCCCTCCCTCGCGTGGTTGGCGGGACCAACTACGGCTCGGGCGGCACTCGCTCATCTCTGGAGAAATGGCAGCGGAACAGTCAGGAAAGCACTGTCCCGCTAAGCCTCGAGCAAGTTCGAGAGTCTAGTCGACCCAAGCACCGCCGCCTTTGTTCCACAGTTACAGGCCACCCCCACAGACCCGAGCCCTCACTCACCGCACAATCCAGCGGGTTCCTCTTTCGTACCCACCGCCCTGCGAGCGCCCCGCGAGCGCCCCCTGGAACTTGTAGTCTCTCCTCCACTCCCGCCCAGACGTCCTCGGGCGCCGATTCCGACAAAGAACTACAACTCCTAGCAGCCGCTCCCACGCTTGCCTACTCTCGGATGCTCTCCGCTGCTGAGGTGTGTGCGAAGCACTGTGGGAAGTGTAGTCAATGAAGACTTGGACCCAGGCTGGGAAAAGGGGGAGAAGACTACAATCCCCGGGATTTTTAGCGGCGACAAAGGTCGCCTGTTGCTAGGGGCGGAGGCAGCTGGCCAGTCTGGGCGGTACGTTAGCGAGGTTAACTCTAGGCTGGTCAGGTAGACTCTGGGAGCACTGTGCAACCGGCCACCTATCGCGTCCCTAGAGGATCTCGAAATTAACCCCCAAATCTGCCAGTCAAGGCCACAATATATTTCGAAATATTTTGCTGGCCCTAGTTTATGAAATAGTTGGGAACACCTGCTGTGTTCTTTGGAGCAGGGCGCAAGACTGCGGAGTTACTCAACTGGAGCCCTTGGGGGCGAAGCAATGTAAACTCACCCTCAACGTTTAGCCCCTGACTAATCCATTTCAAAGCGAACACTCAAAGTTCAAATTAAGCTTTTCGTGAAATTTGGATTTGAAATTTGGGCTTTCTGCTTTGTCTTCTGTACCTACTCAGGGACTTGGACTCCTGGGCCACCCTAGGCTGGGCAGAGAGCATAGTCACCTCACTGAACCTTAGCTGTGAACCTTCAGTAGGGGTAATGTAGAAATAGAAGGGCATATTAGATGCTAAAAGCTTTTGCAATATGATGGTAATTAGAAATGGGGAAGTGAACCTGAGTCTTTCCCTGCCCTCTGTGGTTATCGGGGATAGGGATAGAAGTCTTTGTTTTCCAAAGCTATCATATTCCTGTATAGAAATCCTTGTTGCCTAAGGCTTTTTGCATTCCTGCAACCTTTTCTAGTACTTTTGCCTCTATGCTGCCTTAATTACCATGTATTTGCTATGTACCTTTTGCTTGCATTCCTCACATGAGTATAAAAACCCTCCAAAACTTGAACAGGGGGTCTGACTTCTTGATTTGTGGTGTTATCCGGCTAGCTCAAATTAAACTTCCTCTCTTCACCTGACTTCAGCTCTTGGTCTCTGATATTTCTGTAACAGGGGTCAGTCTCAAGGCTACCTCATCACCTGGGTCTCTTCCATTTTAGAGACCTTAGGCAGATGGGCTTCTTCATGGAGGCTGCTTTCCCAGCACCCCTGGGGTGTGCCAGGTTGGCACAATAGAGGAGGAAGTTGTATCTTTTGCAGTCCCTCAAATTACTTCTCAGAAGCGGAGTTGGGCCTCAAGGGCAAGCACCAGGAGAGGGCACTGGGTACACTCCAGAGGAATGTCTTGACTAAAGGGAAGAGGGTGCCTGGCTGCTTTCTGGGAGGTTTTTCCACTCTGGTCTGGAGCTGCCTGAAGAAGGAGGGATCAATGACTTTTGGTAGAGACCAGGAAGGAGCACTTGGGCAGAGTTGTCCAACAACTAGCTCTCCCTCACTTCCTAGACACATTGGCATGACCTCAGTTTCTCTGATCTGGTAGAGCCAGTCAGACAAGTCAGCATTCTCAGTGCCACTTTGATTCATTCTTCCCTGGAACTCTACCTTAAGACCCAGAGGCCCTTGGGAATTCAGAGAATTGGAGCTGTGGGCTGCCTTGGCCAGCTGCTGAGACCACTGTGGTCTAGGGTGATGGGACTGTCTGGAAAAATGGGCTGGGTTGGTCCCAGCAAAGTGACATCAGGGCAGGTGGGATTTCTGCTTGTGTGGTTTTGGACTTTTTCTCTGAGCTATTCCAGAGAGAAGGAACAGGGCCTCCAGTATTTCTGGTAAATATTTGTAAAGGACATCATTGAAAGGATTGTGTGTGTATATGCTTATCAGAGGTTTAGCATCAGTTGAGACCTGGCCATACCAGTGGGTATGAGAGGATGGGACATATGGCACTGGTGCTTCCCCCCACAGCTCTCCATCTCCTCACTCTGGAACAAAGATGAGCCACTTCATTCCCAGATAACCTCTGTCTGTTGACCATCCAGTGTGAATCCTATGATTGACTGTGGGTGCTGCCTCAGCATTTTTGTCTGAAGTTTAAATATGCAGAGTTTTCCATGGAAATAGAGAGCTCCAGTCTTAGAACAAGTGGTGGGATGGTCTTCTTGGTCCCTTCTTTTTAGATAGGTACCATTCATCCAAATTTCAATCTCTGAGTGCTCTTAGGGCTTCTGTGGCAGCTGGTGATGTCTTCTGACTCCAAGAATAATCTTGAAAGTGGTTCTAAGTACATCCAGCATGGTACCCAGCACAGAGGCACGCCCTCAACACTGCATGTTTATATGTGAAATTCAGGATGGCAGTGATAAAACCTAAAGACCAGACTGTGCCCAAGAATGTGGCACCTTGTGTACCCATCTGACTAAGAAGAACTGAGAGGGGAAACTGTGACATTGGTGGCTCACAGGAAGTGACCCATAATCACTCCTTTGGAATCCAGGCTTCCCAACAGTGCTCTGCTGCCGAGGGTAGTTTCTAGGTCCAAAGCTGCTGTGATATGTGGGACTGGAGAAACCACATCAAGATTTACAGATGAAAGAAACCAATTTGCAGAAAAGAACTGGAAACCCTATGTGGGCTACATACAAGAAACAGAGTGTGTGGGTCAAGGGGAGAGTGTGTGTTGAGGAAGCCCATAATATACAAACATGGGAGAAGTAGGTTCTATGTAATCGAACTATAAAATGTCACGAACCTCATGACCCTGAGTTTTTTTTTTTTTTTTTTTTTTGGTCTGTTTTGAAACAGGGTTTCCCTGTAACCCCAGCTGGCCTGGAACTCACTATGTAGATCAGGCTGGCCTCCAACTCACAGAGATCTGCCTGCCTCTGCCTCCCAAGTGCTGGGATTAAAGGTGTGTGCCACCACACCTAGCTATAACCCTGAGCTTTTAAGTGCATGTTTCCCTCAGCTCACTACTACACACTCATTCTCAGGAGTACTTTCCCTTTCTTAATAAATTATCTGCATTTGTCCATGGTCCAATTCTTTGCCCTCAGACTCAGAGTCTGGACACTTCACTGGATGCCTATAATACTGCCACCCCAGCAACAGGTTACATATATACATGTTTCTTTATATCATAGGATGACTTTGGTTTATTTTATTTTATGTATTTTTGTCTTTTTTGAAGCAGGGTCTCCCTGTAGCCCCAGCTGTCCTGGAACTCACTATGTAGACCAGGCTGGCCTTGAACTCACAGAGATCTGCCTGCCTCTGCCTCCCGAGTGCTGGGACTACAGGCATGTGCCACCATGCCCGGCTTATTTATTATTTTTACTTTATGTATATGAGTGTATTGCTTGTGTGTATGTGAATGCACCCATGTCATGCAATGCTGTGGAGGTCAGAAGAGGGCTTTGGATTCCCTTGGAACCGGACTTAAGGATGGTTCATAGCCGCCATGTGGGTGCTGGGAATCGAACCCGGGTCCTCTGCAAGAGCAGTCAGTACTCTTAACTGCCGAGCCATCTCTCCAGCCCTGACTTTGGTTTTTTTTAAATATTTAATCTATTCATTTTACTTTTTATGTGTATGAGTCTTTTGTCTGCATATATGTAAGTGCACCCATGTTATAATAGGACACCTTCCTGACCATAGCTACACAATGTTAAAGTTTAGGCTGACTCTAGACTCTGAAATTATCAGGCAGTTGGCCCAAGGTATGGGAACACATGTTAGTTAGACCCCAGTTGTCTTGGAAACAGGTCAGAGTGTCCTGTAGTGCACCTGCTAACTGCAGACTTATGGCTTCTATAGGTTATGCTTGGCTTGCTTCTGCGAAATAGTAATTGTTGCTTAATAAAATAGAAAGTGTTAAGGGGACTCTCCACCTTAACCTTGGGAACTTAAAACTTTTCATCCCTGGTTATGGTTTCTCTGTATAAAAGCTTACCCTAGAGAAAGCTACTCACTTGGGTCCCGACACCCTTGTTGTAGTAGTCCTGGCCAGTAACAACTTCCATTCAACAAAACTTTGTCTGAGTGAAGCACCTCATAATAATGTGGTACAATGCCCATGAGGGGAAGAGGGTGTCTGATCCACTGGAACTGGAGCTAGGGATGGTTGTTAGTTGCTATGTGGGTGTTGGGACTCAAACCTGAGTCCTCTGCAAGAGCAGTCAGTGTTCTTAACTACTGAGCCATCTCTCCAGTAACCCTTGTTGTAGTAGTCCTGGCCAGTAACAACTTCCATTCAACAAAACTTTGTCTGAGTGAAGCACCTCATAATAATGTGGTACAATGCCCATGAGGGGAAGAGGGTGTCTGATCCACTGGAACTGGAGCTAGGGATGGTTGTTAGTTGCTATGTGGGTGTTGGGACTCAAACCTGAGTCCTCTGCAAGAGCAGTCAGTGTTCTTAACTACTGAGCCATCTCTCCAGTCCCCAGACTTTTTTTTTT